AAGTCTAATACATACACCTCTCTATATTGAAGTCTAATACATACACCTCTCTATATTGAAGTCTAATACATACACCTCTCCCTATTGAAGTCTAATACATACACCTCTCCCTATTGAAGTCTAATACATACACCTCTCCCTATTGAAGTCTAATACATACACCTCTCCCTATTGAAGTCTAATACATACACCTCTCTATATTGAAGTCTAATACATACACCTCTCTCTATTGAAGTCTAATACATACACCTCTCCCTATTGAAGTCTAATACATACACCTCTCCCTATTGAAGTCTAATACATACACCTCTCCCTATTGAAGTCTAATACATACACCTCTCCCTATTGAAGTCTAATACATACACCTCTCCCTATTGAAGTCTAATACATACACCTCTCTCCCTATTGAAGTCTAATACATACACGTCTCCCTATTGTACACGTCTCCCTATTGAAGTCTAATACATACACCTCTCCCTATTGAAGTCTAATACATACACCTCTCCCTATTGAAGTCTAATACATACACCTCTCCCTATTGAAGTCTAATACATACACCTCTCTGTATTGAAGTCTAATACATACACCTCTCCCTATTGAAGTCTAATACATACACCTCTCCCTATTGAAGTCTAATACATACACCTCCTCTCTACATATTGAAGTCTAATACATACACCTCTCTATTGAAGTCTAATACATACATATTGAAGTCTAATACATACACCTCTCCCTATTGAAGTCTAATACATACACCTCTCCCTATTGAAGTCTAATACATACACCTCTCTGTATTGAAGTCTAATACATACACCTCTCCCTATTGAAGTCTAATACATACACCTCTCTATATTGAAGTCTAATACATACACCTCTCCCTATTGAAGTCTAATACATACACCTCTCCCTATTGAAGTCTAATACATACACCTCTCCCCTAATCATACACCTATTGAAGTCTAATACATACACCTCTCCCTATTGAAGTCTAATACATACACCTCTCTATATTGAAGTCTAATACATACACCTCTCTATATTGAAGTCTAATACATACACCTCTCTATATTGAAGTCTAATACATACACCTCTCCCTATTGAAGTCTAATACATACACCTCTCTGTATTGAAGTCTAATACATACACCTCTCTGTATTGAAGTCTAATATATACACCTCTCTATATTGAAGTCTAATACATACACCTCTCCCTATTGAAGTCTAATACATACACCTCTCCCTATTGAAGTCTAATACATACACCTCTCAGTATTGAAGTCTAATACATACACCTCTCCCTATTGAAGTCTAATACATACACCTCTGGTATTGAAGTCTAATACCACCTCTTTATTGAAGTCTAATACATACACCTCTCCCTATTGAAGTCTAATACATACACCTCTCCCTATTGAAGTCTAATACATACACCTCTCACATTGAAGTCTGTACATACACTATTGAAGTCTAATACATACACCTCTCCCTATTGAAGTCTAATACATACACCTCTCCCTATTGAAGTCTAATACATACACTATTGAAGTCTAATACATACACCTCTCCTAATACTACACCTCTCTGTATTGAAGTCTAATACATGTATTGAAGTCTAATACATACACCTCTCTATTGAAGTCTAATACATACACCTCTCTATTGAAGTCTAATACATACACCTCTCAGTATTGAAGTCTAATACATACACCTCAGCAGAAGTCTAATACATACCTCTCAGAGATCAATATGACACAATGACAGACACCAGCACAATGACACTAGCTACACCACAAGGGGGATACTCCCGGGACACAGGGGTGTGTGTTGCTGGGACATGTTTCACAAAGTCTCTATCAGTTCTCATCACCACTACATTAGCTGCTGTGGTTGTTGGTGCCATACATGTATCGCCAAGGCGACTGGTGTGCACTGGAGAGGGTGACAGTGGCTGTGTGTCACTGGGGACATTGATTTCCCTTACTGTTTAATTACTGCACTAATAACACAATAGATCCTCTTTGTTACAAAACACTACCATACTACACTATACCAGTCTGAAGTAATTACCACCACACAACACCAGTCTGTAGTAATTACAACCACACAACACCAGTCTGAAGTAATTACCACCACACAACTCCAGTCTGTAGTAATTACAACCACACAACACCAGTCTGTAGTAATTACCACCACACAACACCAATGTGAAGTAATTACCACCACACAACACCAATGTGAATTAATTACCACCACGCAACACCAGTCTGTAGTAATTACCACCACACAACACTATACCAGTCTGTAGTAATTACCACCACACAACACCAATGTGAAGTAATTACCACCACACAACACCAATGTGAATTAATTACCACCACGCAACACCAGTCTGTAGTAATTACCACCACACAACACCATATGTGAAGTAATTACCACCACACAACACCAATGTGAATTAATTACCACCCAACACCACTGTAGTAATTACAACCACACAACACCAGTCTGTAGTAATTACAACACACATTACACACACTGAAGTAATTACCACACACAACTCCAGTCTGTAGTAATTACAACCACACAACACCAGTCTGAAGTAATTACCACCACACAACACCAAGTAATTACAACCACACACACACCAGTCTGTAGTAATTACCACCACACAACACCAATGTGAAGTAATTACCACCACACAACACCACCACCACACAACACCAGTCTGTAGTAATTACCACCACACAACACCAGTCTGTAGTAATTACCACCACACAACACCAATGTGAAGTAATTACCACCACACAACACCAATGTGAATTAATTATCACCACACAACACCAGTCTGTAGTAATTACCACCACACAAACACCAGTCTGTAGTAATTACCACCACACAACACCAGTCTGAAATAATTACCACCACACAACTCCAGTCTGTAGTAATTACCACCACACAACACCAGTCTGTAGTAATTACCACCACACAACACTATACCAGTCTGTAGTAATTACCACCACACAACACCAGACTGTAGTAATTACCACCACACAACACTATACCAGTCTGTAGTAATTACCACCACACAACACCAATGTGAAGTAATTACCACCACACAACACCAATGTGAATTAATTACCACCACGCAACACCAGTCTGTAGTAATTACCACCACACAACACCAGTCTGAAATAATTACCACCACACAACTCCAGTCTGTAGTAATTACCACCACACAACACCAGTCTGTAGTAATTACCACCACACAACACTATACCAGTCTGTAGTAATTACCACCACACAACACCAGACTGTAGTAATTACCACCACACAACACCAATGTGAAGTAATTACCACTACACAACACCAGTCTGAAGTATTTACCACCACACAACACCAGTCTGTAGTAATTACCACCACACAACACCAGTCTGTAGTAATTACCACCACACAACACTATACCAGTCTGTAGTAATTACCACCACACAACACCAGACTGTAGTAATTACCACCACACAACACCAATGTGAAGTAATTACCACTACACAACACCAGTCTGAAGTATTTACCACCACACAACACCAGTCTGTATTAATTACCACCACACAACTCCAGTCTGTAGTAATTACAACCACACAACACCAGTCTGTAGTAATTACCACCACACAACACCAATGTGAATTAATTATCACCACACAACACCAGTCTGTAGTAATTACCACCACACAACACTATACCAGTCTGTAGTAATTACCACCACACAACACCAATGTGAAGTAATTACCACCACACAACACCAATGTGAATTAATTACCACCACGCAACACCAGTCTGTAGTAATTACCACCACACAACACCAGTCTGAAGTAATTACCAATACACAACACAACACCAGTCTGTAATAATTACCACTACACAACACCAGTCTGTAGTAATTACCACCACACAACACCAGTCTGTAGTAATTACCACTACACAACACCAGTCTGTAGTAATTACCACCACACAACACCAGTCTGTAGTAATTACCACCACACAACACCAGTCTGTAGTAATTACCACCACACTGCACAACACCAGTCTGTAGTAATTACCACCACACAACACCAGTCTGAAGTAATTACCACACAACTCCAGTCTGTAGTAATTACCACCACACAACACCAGTCTGTAATAATTACCACCACACAACACCGGTCTGTAGTAATTACCACCACACTACACAACACCAGTCTGTAGTAATTACCACCACACAACACCAGTCTGTAATAATTACCACCACACAACACCGGTCTGTAGTAATTACCACCACACTACACAACACCAGTCTGTAGTAATTACCACCACACAACACCAGTCTGTAGTAATTACCACCACACAACACCAGTCTGAAGTAATTACCACCACACAACTCCAGTCTGTAGTAATTACCACCACACAACACCAGTCTGTAGTAATTACCACCACACAACACCAGTCTGTAGTAATTACCACAACACAACACCAGTCTGTAGTAATTACCACCACGCAACACCAGTCTGAAGTATTTACCACTACACAACACAACACCGGTCTGTAGTAATTACCACCACACTATAAAACACCAGTCTGTAGTAATTACCACCACACAACACAACACCAGTCTGTAGTAATTACCACCACACAACACTACACCAGTCTGTAATAATTACCACCACACTACACAACACCAGTCTGTAGTAATTACCACCACACAACACTACACCAGTCTGTAATAATTATCACCACACAACACCAGTCTGAAGTAATTACCACCACACAACACCAGTCTGTAGTAATTACCACCACACAACACTTCACCAGTCTGTAATAATAACCATCACACCCCTTCCCTCCCATCACATTCCCTTCCCCCACCACCACATCCCCTTTCCCCTCACCACATCCCCTTTCCCCCCATCACCACATCCCCTTTCCCCTCACCACTTTCTCTTCCCCCCAACCACTACATCCCCTTTCCCCTCACCACTTTCCCTTTCCCCCCACCACCACACCCCGTTTCTCCCTTACCACTTTCCCTTTGCTCCCCACCACCACACCCTGTTTCTCCCTCACCACTTTTCCTTTGCCTCCTCCCACATCCCCTTTCCCCTCACCACTTTCCCTGTTGCCTCCTCCCACATCCCCTTTCCCCTCACCACTTTCCCTGTTGCCTCCTCCCACATCCCCTTTCCCCTCACCACTTTCCCTGTTGCCTCCTCCCACATCCCCTTTCCCCGTACCACTTTCCCTGTTGCCTCCTCCCACATCCCCTTTCCCCGTACCACTTTCCCTGTTGCCTCCTCCCACATCCCCTTTCCCCGTACCACTTTCCCTGTTGCCTCCTCCCACATCCCCTTTCCCCGTACCACTTTCCCTGTTGCCTCCTCCCACATCCCCTTTCCCCGTACCACTTTCCCTGTTGCCTCCTCCCACATCCCCTTTCCCCGTACCACTTTCCCTGTTGCCTCCTCCCACATCCCCTTTCCCCTCACCACTTTCCCTGTTGCCTCCTCCCACATCCCCTTTCCCCTCACCACTTTCCCTGTTGCCTCCTCCCACATCCCCTTTCCCCTCACCACTTTCCCTGTTGCCTCCTCCCACATCCCCTTTCCCCGTACCACTTTCCCTTTGCCTCTTTCCTCAGACTCTACCCACAATATAAATAACACTCTTAGTACTTTGTTATGATTTTAATCAATTAAGTTTCCCCTCACCACATCCCCTTTCCCCCCACCACCACATCCCCTTTCCCCTCACCACTTTCCCTTTCCCCCCACCACCACACCCCGTTTCTCCCTCACCACTTTCCCTGTTGCCTCCTCCCACATCCCCTTTCCCCTCACCACTTTCCCTGTTGCCTCCTCCCACATCCCCTTTCCCCGTACCACTTTCCCTGTTGCCTCCTCCCACATCCCCTTTCCCCGTACCACTTTCCCTGTTGCCTCCTCCCACATCCCCTTTCCCCTCACCACTTTCCCTGTGTTGCCTCCTCCCACATCCCCTTTCCCCTCACCACTTTCCCTGTTGCCTCCTCCCACATCCCCTTTCCCCTCACCACTTTCCCTGTTGCCTCCTCCCACATCCCCTTTCCCCTCACCACTTTCCCTGTTGCCTCCTCCCACATCCCCTTTCCCCTCACCACTTTCCCTGTTGCCTCCTCCCACATCCCCTTTCCCCTCACCACTTTCCCTGTTGCCTCCTCCCACATCCCCTTTCCCCTCACCACTTTCCCTGTTGCCTCCTCCCACATCCCCTTTCCCCGTACCACTTTCCCTGTTGCCTCCTCCCACATCCCCTTTCCCCGTACCACTTTCCCTGTTGCCTCCTCCCACATCCCCTTTCCCCGTACCACTTTCCCTGTTGCCTCCTCCCACATCCCCTTTCCCCTCACCACTTTCCCTGTTGCCTCCTCCCACATCCCCTTTCCCCGTACCACTTTCCCTGTTGCCTCCTCCCACATCCCCTTTCCCCTCACCACTTTCCCTGTTGCCTCCTCCCACATCCCCTTTCCCCTCACCACTTTCCCTGTTGCCTCCTCCCACATCCCCTTTCCCCGTACCACTTTCCCTGTTGCCTCCTCCCACATCCCCTTTCCCCGTACCACTTTCCCTGTTGCCTCCTCCCACATCCCCTTTCCCCGTACCACTTTCCCTGTTGCCTCCTCCCACATCCCCTTTCCCCTCACCACTTTCCCTGTTGCCTCCTCCCACATCCCCTTTCCCCTCACCACTTTCCCTGTTGCCTCCTCCCACATCCCCTTTCCCCTCACCACTTTCCCTGTTGCCTCCTCCCACATCCCCTTTCCCCTCACCACTTTCCCTGTTGCCTCCTCCCACATCCCCTCCTCCCACATCCCCTTTCCCCGTACCACTTTCCCTGTTGCCTCCTCCCACATCCCCTTTCACCACTTTCCCGTACCACTTTCCCTGTTGCCTCCTCCCACATCCCCTTTCCCCGTACCACTTTCCCTGTTGCCTCCTCCCACATCCCCTTTCCCCGTACCACTTTCCCTGTTGCCTCCTCCCACATCCCCTTTCCCCTCACCACTTTCCCTGTTGCCTCCTCCCCCCACTCCCCCTTTCCCCGTACCACTTTCCCTGTTGCCTCCTCCCACATCCCCTTTCCCCGTACCACTTTCCCTGTTGCCTCCTCCCACATCCCCTTTCCCCGTACCACTTTCCCTGTTGCCTCCTCCCACACCCCCTTTCCCCGTACCACTTTCCCTGTTGCCTCCTCCCACATCCCCTTTCCCCTCACCACTTTCCCTGTTGCCTCCTCCCACATCCCCTTTCCCCGTACCACTTTCCCTGTTGCCTCCTCCCACATCCCCTTTCCCCTCACCACTTTCCCTGTTGCCTCCTCCCACACTCCCTTTCCCCTCACCACTTTCCCTGTTGCCTCCTCCCACATCCCCTTTCCCCGTACCACTTTCCCTTTGCCTCTTTCCTCAGACTCTACCCACAATATAAATAACACTCTTATTACTTTGTTATGATTTTAATCAATTAAGTTTTGTTTTAGTGACCCACTCTGCTGTCTGGTAATAACAGAACCTAATGTTCAACATGAATTCTATAGAGTCTCTTGTGTATGAACAGTCAACATCAATCAATGTTTGGAGTAAAGAATGTGTTATCTCCCCTGCTGATGTAGCAGTAACTTACCTTCCGATACAGCTGATGACCAATAGATAACCCTGACAACCATGGCAGCTATGTACTAGGACCAATAGTTTTCACATCCAAGCAGGATCCTGGGCCTTTGCTTTGTACAGACCACAGGTCAGGACATCAGCTACAAAACAGAAATTGGCTAGTGTTCATGTTCTCAATAAATCATCTGTTGTAATTATGTTATTTCACAAAATACAGTATATCTCTCATAAAAATTACATCACAATTCATCAGCAAAATTAATTGATCAATTGCTTTATAATATTTTTGTACTGGATCAATAATTTTATACAATCCTAAATATACATATATAGGAAACTTACACCTATGTTCTATACAACATTGATTCCCCAAGGATGCTTCAGACTAAATTTAGACTTAGGCTGGTAATCCATATTGAAGTTTGCCCCATCCTTGAGCTTCAGGAGACCCAAACAAAGCGTTAAAGTAAAATTGATTCCGTTCACTAAAGGATCAAAGCTTTAGATGATACATTTCCTTGGACTAAACCCTATAATCTGTACAGGAGAAGGAATATGTAGAAGATCTTCCTCTTTATTCCTGAATGGTTGTATCCCCTGTCCACAGTGCGGCAAGAATCTCCAGTAATAGGAAACTGAGCCCCACTCACCCTGCCCCACTTCAAAAACATTAACACAATTAACAACATAGTCCAAAAGAGTGAAGAACCAGACCAAAGCCAGATGACAATAAGATAACATATCTTTATCTGACTGTACTCCAGAATCTATGCCAAAGGCAAACATTTACTAGCAAACCTACTCAACAGTTCAAATGAAGATTTCAAACTTTTTGAAAATTAACAATGGGAATCTGGAATCAGGAGAACATGCAACATCCATTATATGGCTCTGAGACAGAGTAACAATACAAAGGACTTATAGTGGTTGTTCTGGAATTAGATCTGTACTATAATCTTCTAACATATCACACACAAAGCCTTCATTGTCATCAACCAATTAGAGTATAATGCAGATTTCTATCAACACAACTATTCCACTTCCTGTCAGAAACCCTTCAACTTCCTGTCAGATCGTGGAGAATACAGGGTTAGCAGCAGTCATTTAAGAGACAAATAGCCATCATTACGATAAAACAATAAAGGTGAGCAAATCTACCAGGTGTAATGGTCTTATGACATGCTGTACTGATGTTCATCCAAAAACAAATACAGACACTTTAATATTAAAGATCAGAGACCATCACACTTGTATCAGAGATAACAATCCCACAGGTTCTAAGGACCACGTCCCACAGGTATAGTAGTTATAAGGACTAGGTCCCACAGGTATAGTAGTTATAAGGACCATGTCCCACAGGTATAGTAGTTATAAGGACCACATCCCACAGGTATAGTAGTTATCAGGACCAGGTCCTACAGGTATAGTAGTTATAAGGACCACATCCCACAGGTATAGTAGTTATAAGGACCACATCCCACAGGTATAGTAGTTATCAGGACCAGGTCCTACAGGTATAGTAGTTATAAGGACCACATCCCACAGGTATAGTAGTTATAAGGACCACGTCCCACAGGTAAAGTAGTTATCAGGACCAGGTCCCACAGGTATAGTAGTTATAAGGACCACGTCCTACAGGTATAGTAATTATAAGGACCAGGTCCCACAGGTATAGTAATTATAAGGACCAGTTCCCACAGGTATAATAGTTACAAGGACCAGGTCCCACAGGTAAAGTAGTAAGGACCCAGGTTCAACAGGAACTCAACACTTTTATATGACTCCAGTTCCCACAGTGTATAATAGTGTCATGTGACCAGGTCCCACAGGTAAAGTAGTAAGGACCCAGGTTCAACAGGAACTCAACACTTTTATATCATGTGACCTGACTCTACAGTGTCATGTGACCTGACTCTTCAGTGTCATGTGACCTGATTCTTCAGTGTTATGTAACGTGACTCTTCAGTGTTATGTAACCTGACTCTACAGTGTTATGTGACCTGACTACAGTGTTATGTGACCTGACTACAGTGTTATGCAACCTGACTCTACAGTGTTAAGTGACCTGACTACAGTGTTATGTGACCTGACTACAGTGTTATGTGACCTAACTCTACAGTGTTATGTAACCTGACTTACAGTGTTATGTGACCTGACTCTACAGTGTTATGTGACCTGACTCTACAGTGTTATGTGACCTGACTACAGTGTTATGTGACCTGACTACAGTGTTATGTAACCTGACTCTACACTGTTATGTGACCTAACACTACAGTGTTATGTGACCTGACTTTACAGTGTTATGTGACCTGACTACAGTGTTATGTGGCCTGACTCTACAGTGTTATGTGACCTGACTCTACAGTGTTATGTGACCTGACTCTAAAGTGTTATGTGACCTGACTCTACAGTGTTATGTGGCCTGACTCTACAGTGTTATGTGACCTAACACTACAGTGTTATGTGACCTGACTTTACAGTGTTATGTGACCTGACTACAGTGTTATGTGGCCTGACTCTACAGTGTTATGTGACCTGACTCTACAGTGTTATGTTGCCTGACTCTACAGTGTTATGTGACCTGACTACAGTGTTATGTGACCTGACTCTACAGTGTTATGTGACCTAACACTACAATGTTTTGTGGCCTGACTCTACAGTGTTATGTGGCCTGACTCTACAGTGTTATGTGGCCTGACTCTACAGTGTTATGTGACCTGACTACAGTGTTATGTTGCCTGACTCTACAGTGTTATGTGACCTGACTACAGTGTTATGTGGCCTGACTCTACAGTGTTATGTTGCCTGACTCTACAGTGTTATGTGACCTGACTACAGTGTTATGTGACCTGACTACAGTGTTATGTGACCTGACTACAGTGTTATGTGACCTGACTACAGTGTTATGTGGCCTGACTCTACAGTGTTATGTTGCCTGACTCTACAGTGTTATGTTGCCTGACTTTACAGTGTTATGTGACCTGACTACAGTGTTATGTGACCTGACTACAGTGTTATGTGGCCTGACTACAGAGTTATGTTGCCTGACTCTACAGTGTTTCGTGACCTGACTCTACAGTAATATGTGGCCTGACTCTACAGTGTTATGTGGCCTGACTCTACAGTGATATGTGGCCTGACTCTACAGTGTTATGTGACCTGACTACAGTAATATGTGGCCTGACTCTACAGTGTTATGTGGCCTGACTACAGTGTTATGTGACCTGACTACAGTGTTATGTGGCCTGACTACAGTGTTATGTGACCTGACTACAGTGATATGTGGCTTGACTCTACAGTATTATGTGGCCTAACTCTACAGTATTTGGTAACCTGACTGTACAGTGTTATGTAACCTGACTGTACAGTATTACATAGACCAACATGACACAAACAATCATTTACTACTTCTCTATGGAACTGTTGATGACTGATTGTGACAGTTTGTTAAACTTTTTTACCATTATAAAAGGTTAACGGCACCTAACCCTTCAGTTTGCCGCCATCAAAACACCTTCATAACTACTTTCAGCTACTCAAGGTGAAGAGTTCCATCTGTTTCTATGGCTACCAATCTAATCACATGACGACCAACTGATTACTAGCCTGTGGTGTCATTGTTGACAACTAACCACAGAAAAACATGTCAGTAATCTTAAACAGTCCAAAACCTCACGAAATAATACTACTATCTTCAAATGTCTTAAAGAGACAGTTTCTGTAAAATGTTTTGTAATCAAATCAAGAAATATCACGTCCTTAAATATGAGCAGCATACTTAAACTTTACTGTCTTGAGAAGAATTCAAGGTTGACCAACTAGATGCTGAATATATAATAAAGATCAAAGATAAACAGATCTTGGGTTTTATAAAGAGCATTCATAAGAAAATCGGACTTCAGTTTCAATCAACAACAATGACCTTTAACCTATAACTTAGATATTTAATTGGGATCTTTAGACTGACGTTACAAAGAAAAATGAGAGTATTATATCTTATGTATAACAATGTAATACCTAGGGTCCATCAGTACATGATAAGTACATGACTATGATATGATAATGTAATACCTAGGGCCCATTAGTACATGGCTATGAGATAATAATGTAATACCTAGGGTCCATTAGTACATGACTATGATATGATAATATAATACCTCGAGTCCATTAGTACATGACTATGATATGATAATGGAATACCTAGGGCCCATTAGTACACGACTATGATATGATAATGTCATACCTAGGGTCCATTAGTACACGACTATGATATGATAATGTAATACCTAGGGTCCATTAATACACGACTATGATATAATGTAATACCTAGGGTCCATTAGTTCATGCCTATGATATGATAATGTCATACCTAGGGCCCATTAGTACACGACTATGATATGATAATGTAATACCTAGGGTCCATTAGTACATGGCTATGATATGATAATGTAATACCTAGGGCCCATTAGTACATGACTATGATATGATAATGTAATACCTAGGGACCATTAGTACATGACTATGATATGATAATGTAATACCTAGGGCCCATTTGTATATTACTATATTATACTGTACTGGCCTGCCAGTTCACTGAAATCTGTATTGAGAGTGTTAATGCTATTAGTTGCCATGAATAGCTGCCGACTCACATTCCTCAGACATTAGTCTCAAACATTGAACCATCATTCCATATTAGAAGATTATAACCCCTATGGTATCATCTCCATGGGGACGTCCTGAAATGTTAAACCAAAAGGTAATGGCCGTCTTGCATTGGAGTTCCCAACGGATGACTGATATCTCCTGTGTCAAAAATTCATGACAAAAGTTGTAACTCAATAAGATCCTGGCTTCAGTCAATATTGAGATCACGGGAGATGTCATCGTACAGAAATTTTACCTACTGTGATAACTGATACACACTCTACTTACTTCAAGGTCAAAAAACAAACAAAGCCAATAACATTTTAATATTTCATATCTCAATATATGTCAATACTAATATAAAAAGAATTTTGATTCTTTATTTATTGATATGACATGAAAATTT